ATGTATGCAACGAAAACGCTTAAATGTAGCGTCAGTATTGTTATGTAAAACTGAGTTTTCTAGAAACCCTCCACACACATATAAATATAACCAACTCGACGCACCAAAAAAGAGTATCTATTATTAGTTTGGTATAGTCAATGTACTATAAACCATGGTAGCTATAACTGTGATTGTTATAGCGCTTATCTATCGGAAAACAAATATTTGACCAGGAGCGTTTACAAAGTTCGAACATTACAAATCATTTAACTTCATCGAACATTAGTATATTTACGAAAACATTAGCTAACTTCAATCGTTGAAAACTCGGCGTGTGTGGCTGGTGAATAACGAAGGACAAAGCTAGCAAGCTTACCATTAAGCGAATTGTACCTAAAACAACTTGTAATCAACTCGCTCATCGTGAAACATCGATGAGATATCAAGGAAGTTCCAGACTAGAAAGAAGACTTTATATTGCTTGTAAGTTTGTGAAACTTTTGTTCAAAATCATTGTTTGTAATAACTATTTGTAGTAACTGTTATTGTAAATTGTATTGTTGTTTATACATTAAAAAAGAAAACTCTGTATATCACTCTTGTTGGCAATATCATAAACTGACTATATATATATCGGCTTTTACTTTAGTGCTAAATCCAAAGTACAATTTAACTACTAAATTTAAATTATCGGTTAACTCAGTTTCAGACCATTTGAAATTCTAATACGTGAAAAACAGATTATAATTCGACAGTTAAGCTGTACGATTCTGCGAAGGTTGAGGTGTTATATTTTGATGAAAATAGAAACAGTACAGTAACTTTACCCTAATCGACATGTCTCTCCGAGGCTGATGTTTTCCAAATAGGCGCATCACATGTTTCAAGCTCGGAATGATGTTGAAGGGTGGAGGAAGTGTATTTCCTTCCTCAAAGAAATTCAGGATCAGCTTACTCCTAGCAAATTTCCATTCAGTGTCTGAACGTTCCTGCGAAATGGAAAATACCCATAAAGTCAAATATTGTGGAATATTAAACTTTTTAATTAATATAGTATAATTCAACAGTACAATGCTTTCATAAAACTGATTCTTGTTTATTAATTACTGGTAATTTTACTATTTTTTTCTTCTTTTTTTTTGACGAAAACTCTAATTCATATCTCTTTCAAAACAATATATGTTAGTGTTAACAAAAACAATAAACTTGAAAAGATGTAAACGCGTAACACAGAAACGAAGCTCAACGACAGAACCCTGTTGAACATGACTCTTCAGAGACCTGAGTAACGAAACTTATTTCGGTCCTTAATTAATATAATATATCGAATCTCGTCTCTTAAATACTTCGTAAAGGTCATCGATTACATAAAGTCGAACCATGAAAACCTTTCAATTGTTTCGTTCCTTTTTCAATAATACACATCTTACTGATTAATAATTTTTTCTATCGGGCTATCTGCTGTGTCCACCGAGTGGAATCCAACCCCTGATTTTATCATCGTAAATCCCAAGACTTACCGGGGGACTTGAAATTAGTTGATAGCGGCGATGCGTTTTAACACTGTTTGTTTGTTTTGAATTTTCACGCAAAGTAAGACTAAGTAAAGCAGTGTAAGACTAGAAGGAAGGCAGCTAATCATCACCACCCACCACCAACTTTTTGGCTACTCTTTTACCAACGAACAGTGGGATTGACTGCAACATTATAACGCCCCAATGGCTGAAAGAGCGAGCATGTTTGGTGGGACGGAGATTCGAACCCGCCACCCTCAGATTGCGAGTCGAGCGCCCTGACCGCTTTAACATTGTAACTGAAGTAGTAAGTTGCATTTTCCAATATCTTATAATATGATACGCTTGAACTAATTATTTTTGTAAATAGGGATGAAAACTGAAAGCTTTATTACCTCAATTCATCTTGAATTACTTCACTAGATCACTAGTGTTTTCAACTTGTGGACACATATTCAATTGTATAAACAAATATATTTCAAATGTTCAGTATGAAATTAAGATATAAAATCGAGAAATAGCGTTAGATTCTTCAAAATGCTATCAAGAGACAGTAGAAATATATATTGAAGTAAATTTACAATACACTGTATCATTTCACTACATCTTCAAAAGGCAATAGTGTTTTGCACAAAAATACTGAAGATGGGTAGAAATATTTGCAAATATGTTTGAAACAACTTACATCAAGTCCAAGTTTTCCTGAGGAGAGCTTATGATTTTCAATGTGTCTTTGTTGTAATTTAACTTCTCTAATCTATTCTAATCAGCTAATAAAACAAAATTTAAAAATAAAAACATTTTCTACAAGCCTCGAACCTTTGATTAATTAAAACTTGGACGATATGCAGAAACAGAACACCAACAGATAGATAACATTTAAGTAACTTCCTTTGGTATAATTAAAAATAAACTAATATATAGACACGTCTTAGACATGACGTACCGAAATTATCTGGTAGGAATGATTCATCATGGCAATAAGGAGGTTCAGGAGCACCACAACATTGATTACAGAGTAACATCCAAACATCAGTAAAGCCCAAAATCGAGTATAGCCTTTGATTCCATTAAGTTCAAAAATCCCGAGATCAATCAGCCCAAAGCTTGCCCAGAACAAGCTTTGTGCTGACTCAAACAGGCTGAAAAAAAAAAGAGAAATACAAAATAATAATCAAACAGATCTATCTGATATACTTGGGTACTTTAACTTTTGTGATTCCAAAAAATTGAAGCAAGTCTTTTTCAGCCATTTTTAGATTATTTGACAACAATATCAATAATTTTGAGAGTCTTCAAATATGATCATGACAAATGAGGAAGACAGTAAATGACTTGCATTGTACAGTTCTAAAATATAATTCTATTACACATATTAATATATGTATAAGTATTTTCAAGCCACAGTTTATACATAACGCGATGCACAGTTCGATTATTAAGGTTAAAAAAATCCAAACGTTTAGTCAAGTGCAATGTGTAATAATTACGCTTGTCTGCTTGACAAAAAACAATGGGAAAGCACAGAACTTGATCACTATGTGACTAATGTGTACATTAATAAAACATAAATACGAATAAAACCATCCGCAGTTTCAGTTTTACTAATGGCATAAATAATGCGTATATTAATATATCCTATGTAATAAAAAAGGTCATCAAACTTTACTACTGTTAGAACAGTTCCACTTCAAATACATTTTTTTATATTTTTACTTGTAACACATTCTAGAGACGTATTTGTGTTTTCATAGTCCCCGACAATGGAAATATACATATACCATTCCAAACAGTTATGGGGTAGTCGGAGGTTTCTATATTCTATCTATTACAAGGCACAACTAGTTTTTGTTTTGTTTTTAAATAACTACCATGACACTCCTGAGTTAATTTTATGTAAACCAAGATCCATGTAATCTGGTATATAAATGTCTAGTATTAGAGCCCATGGTTACAAATGCTCATTTGGTACCGCAGACGTTTCAATCCAAGAAATAACCGAAAAGCATTTATTTATTACAAGCATGATCACCTTGAACATTAATATAAGTCGTATATCAATATGACATACATATCCGGTAAGTGTGGTAGTCAATCCATTCGCTCGATATTCGCTTCTTCCAGAAAGTTGCTAACCAGATGAGTGCAATAGGATGCGCGTTATCATTCTTTAGAAGAAAGTTCTGATCAGTTACACCTGCAATATATACTAATAGTTATAATACTGCATTTATATATCGTATGATACTGACAGTATCATGTCGTAGTATATAAATGTCAGTGTGGTTGCTCATACTAATCACTACCCAAACCAGTGTGCCATCGACACCACCATACGCGGTCTTTCCTCTGTAAAACTGAGGTTGGTGTGATTTCATCCACTGTCTAAACGCGTACACTCGTATCTGGTTGTACAGTGAAGTGAGACTCTTCTGTGAACAAGATCTCTGCCTACGAGTTCTTTGATCAATCCACATATTCTTCAATTAATTAAAGAAGAATGGCCGTTTTGTGGCGATGGATTAGAGGAAAACACGCTATTGGTCATCTGGTAAAAAGCTAACCTATTCCTGATGTTTTGCATGCTCACTCGTTGTTTAGTTTCTGTTCTGATCTATTGATTCAATTAAGAACCTAAGGATTGCCAGTTACTTTGAGCCCATATTTTCAAATAGTGTTCGCCTTACAGGGCTTAGAGTTTTCCAGCCAACTGTACTGATGTTCTGATAGCGAGTCCACATCCTGCTAGCCACATGTTTGTGAGACTTGTAACCGTTCTCTAACGACTTTGACTAATTGCTATTCGACCTATTGCTCTTCTTTACAGAAAATGTCCATTATGTCTTCGATGTGTCCGTGGCATGTTTCACTCTCAATCTGGGTGGTGTTTCTATACACTGTTGTTGAGAACATACCGCGTTTCCTTCGCTTTATACATCAAGGAAGTGTGAGTATCAGATCATTTTGTTGGTCACTAGACACTTATTTTTTTTCCAAAATTGAGCTCGGGGATCCTATTGACATTATTTAATAACAATAACTGTTTCTTGTCATAACTAGGATCTCCTGGTGTGGCTAGTGGTTAGCGTATCAGGCTGCTGATTCTTGCCTTCCCTCTGCTCAGCAGTTATAAATTATAGATGTCTACGTCTGAACGTTGAGGTTTCTGACCCGAATGCTTAGCTCTAAAATCATATAAGGAACCAATCAGGTTGAAAATACCAAATACCTAGCTAGAATATAGAAAGCTGCTATTTCTCCTTAATTGTTTTGAGAAATGTAAGGAAATAATTTTCTCCCGATAAACGTTAGGCCAAAGAGTATACATGAAATAAATTGTTTCTGCTTTCAGTGGTAACTTGATGATTCAAACGCATATTTAACACAAAATAATAATGTATGTAATTCAAGCGTAAAGTACAACTGAAAGTACAACTATAAAGTTTCCAATTATTTTTTACTTCCTAATCTTCAATATCATTTTGCGGATAAAAACGAGCGAATATTACAAACATTAATATCACGATTCCTTGAAAATATTAATTTACATGAAAAATATTGTGTATCTATTTACCATGTATTAATCCTCTTCGGGTAAGTAAGGTCAGTACAATTTATAACCTTAATTCCTCTGTAAAACTAATTGAAAATTAGAGGAAAAGGAATCTACGATGTCGTGGAAAACTCAGAATAACCTAAATCACACAAAATTTGGAAAGTGCTTAAAAGCTTCTACATGACTTTACAAGTTTTTCACCTGATCTCGGTATTAGACTTTGTCACTAGTCCTTGTGTTCTCATCTGTTATAAGGTGCCGCGCTTTGCTTACAACGACTGGGATATGATTTGTTGCAGGTCTCATGGTGTCCCATAGTGACCCACATTCCTTTGTTTTCCAATGCCATTAAATATAAGGGATATTACAATGTTGAAAATTCTAAATTCCCGATCTGAACACATCTTTATGATCTAAGTGTACGAATATTTTGCAAGGAATGGTCTTGTTACCTACTCTTTTCAAGAACGATCAGTTTTTGGTGGCATCATACTACCTACGAATTGTCAAACACTGTTAAAATATAGTTCTAATACATTCATTCCACCGTGGCGCTATTATTAGCAGTAGTTATGACGTAGTTTGCTGATTTGTATGTTCAAAATTGTTTTAGGATAACGTTCTCAAGCTTCTTTACGTAAGTTCAAAATGTTTTAATTAACAAGGCATTTGTTCATTTATGTAGTCAATTTAATATAAGCATTAACTGTTTAAGAATTAAAAGAATATTGAAACTAATTACTGCTTAACGTACTTAGAAAATCTTCTCCAGGCTATGCAAGCATCTCTCTGCTTCCCCCAGTTGGGTTCCCCGCCAGGTAGGCTATAACATTGCTCCATCTCCAACTCTGAATAATACCACAGAAGCTGGTTCATGCCACAGGCAAAGGCAAACAAAACTAGCGTGTAAATGAAAAAAAACTTCATGATATCTATCACCATACGACCTAGGGATATTTGTAGAGGTCCAAGATGGGGATTGATAGAGAAGATGTGGATCAATTTCAGAGCTCTGCAAAGAAATATAGAAATATAAATATTATTAATTAGTTTTAGGTTTAGGGTGTTAAAAGAAAAAAATAGTGCTTTACTTTATTTATTTTTTTAGTTATAATTAAGATGTAAATATCATCTAGCCCCAGTGGACTTACAACGCTAGAAAACGGGTTTCGATACCTGAGGTGGGCAGAGCACAGATAGCCCATTGTGTAGCTTTGTGCTTAACTTCAAACAAACAAATTACTACACTGAAGGGTTAATTTATAGATAAATGTACATACAATCTCTCTCTCTGTGTCTAATTTATTATAGTTTATTCTAAAAATACCTAACGACGTCTTCTATCAAAATTAAAAGTTCGGACTTTGTGTTCTCTATACTGTATTTAATTGAACTAATATCGATATTTATCAACTGATGCTGTATGAGGAGAACCACAACAGCGGACATGAATTAATGCTTACTAGAAAACAATTACTTTCTTCCGCCACATTAATAGTTTAAAATTAAAATATACAATGAGACAATTTGGTTCCTTGTTTGCATCTGCCTTCCATCTTTGAATATCTCTAAAAATATGCATAAAATTTATAACTGCGACAATCTTTTTGGCTAGCCATGATATCAAAACACTCTTTTTTTGGATATGAATGGTAGAAACTATATATATTAGATGGAGACCAGGTGGAATGGAAGACAGATGATATTTAGCAGGCTAAACTATTATTCTGAAAGTTTTCTTTGAACTACTTTTAGTCCACATAAAGCATATTTTTCCTCAATATAAGATACTTCTTATTCCCTTAACACCTCTCATTTCTAATGATTTTGAGAAATATAGTGGATATCTGTTTTCCAGAAAGAGTTTTTTATGTAATCAAGTTTTATGACCAACAACCTGATAAAAGATTGAAGTCACGCTGACAGTCATTTTGTAATCATCTATTTTAATGGCTTAGTTTATTAACATTTGATGAAAGCCTGATGCTAGAATTACCACTTTGTAAGATTAGATTTTGTTTTAATGTTTTTCGATAATCCAGTTTTTTATATAATATAGTATGAAGTATTCGGGTGTTGATTGATACCTGGCGAAATATCTAGAATATTACACAAAAACATTAGACAACGTAACATTAGACTGGTAACACGTCACGAGTTTCTAGAAGGATCATGACTGTTCCTGGCAACTCTAGTGTTTGCCAGACGCCCTCTATTTTTGTATATAAGCCCGGCAAATAAAGCGGAGAGGAGGAGTGACGGCATGAAGGATAGTAGATTGAAGGAAGACATAGAGACAGATAATTGAGTCAAGTGAGCGGTAGTGACCGTAAGTAAAGTGCGTGCATCGTTGTGAATTATAGCGTGTGTTTAAGTTAAAATTAACTGTGGAAATTCTGTATATTACAAAGTTGTATTGAGAAAGAATAAACTAGTTTTATTTAAGAAAGGACTTAAGTTCTTCGGGAAGAATTTATACCGGAAATTAACAAACGAACAGAGACGTAACAATAGAAATATTAGAAGCACAATAATATTAGATTTAAAATAATACAACTTAAAATATGTCTGTAATAAAATTCAAACAGTTAGTATGAGAAAATTTTCAACGTATGTATGAAAATGAGAAAAACATACGCAAAAATGTTTGCTGCTGCAAAACATCCATCAGCTACGAGCATTGGGTCAAACATAGGCCATTCCTCTCTTGGTACAAAAGCAGCACTAGAATCAGCTGAAATTTCAGCTTGGGCCTTGGAAAAGAGAGAAAGAAATATGTAAGCATGGTGCATACATATCAGTAAATTATATGGCTAAATCTGAGTAAAATGTATTCAGTTCCCCACTTTTCTTACGTATAAGAAACACATTTAAACATATACATCCAACCTAATATTAGCTTTCCATCTAATAGCTTAATTAAACATATTCTACTGCAACATTAGAAATGCATGAGTTGAATACCAACTTAAAGAAACATTATACGTTATTAATTAACTGCATTGTATAAAATTAATTAAATACTCATGAATTACCTTTTATTCATTTACTGAACTAAGTTTTGTGTTGTTAATAATTTTACTCAATGTTGAATTATTTAGTTCTTTATAATACTATGTATAGATCTCCTGTAATAGCTCAGAGCTTCTTGTTTCTCGCTGGTTTGATCTTTAGTAGACTGTTTTACTGTTCAGAAATTTGTAAAATAACGAAGAGGAGATTTATTTTCTAAAAAACTTAGGCCCTAGTAACACTTCAGCAAAAAGCGATATAAAAGTTTAAACCTAACAAGTATTTTTCTCTGTTTTGCCCTTAAGTTCAAATCAGGTGATAATACTAAAGAAACAACCCAATTTATTCTAGTGCTAAGAAGGCTCTATTGCTAATCTAAAGTTACTCAATCTATTTTGAGTCAAACTGCACTTTACCGAAAATATGTAACTTGACGTCCTGCCTCCCATATATACATAATATATAAGATTATGCCTTTTTGCACTCATTACAAACCTATCCATCTTGTGCTATGTATAACTGTGTAATGCTAACAGATAGAATCAGTTAATTAAACCGGCCTAACTTCGAAGTTCGTTCGAATTGGTTCTCTGCTTTGTAAGCGTAGCTGCTGTAAAGTTTTTCGTAATTATTTAAAATTATTAATTCATATTATTATTTAATCAATACATTAATATTGTTATATAATTACTTAATTAAAATTATTTATTTATTACTAATTGTTTAGTTAATAAGTAGCTTAGTTTATATAATCCACTAGCTCCTGTGTGGGCAGCCCATTGGCCATGTGTGTTTTGTTTGTTTTTGAATTTCGCGCAAAGCTACACGAGGGCTATCTGCGCTAGCCGTCCCTAATTTAGCAGTGTAAGACTAGAGGGAACGCAGCTTGTCATCACCACCCACCGCCAACTCTTGGGCTACTCTTTTACCAACGAATAGTGGGATTGACCGTTACATTATAACGCCC